ACTCTAGAGGACCCCGAATCTGCAATGAAAAATGAACTTGGGGGGGTGGGGGAGTAGGAAGGTAGCGGGAACGTGCACGCGTACGTGTGCGCCAGGTGGGGGAGTGGGAAGGTAGCGGGAAGCGAGACGATCGGAGGGGGGGGAATGACGTCGGCAGCGCGCAGGTGGGTGATCGGGATGGTGAGCGCGTGCGGAGAGCGGGGGGGAAAGAGTCGGGGAGCAAGGAGCACAAGGGGCGTGACGGGGGCACGTTGGGGGGACCGGCGATTGGGCGCGATCCTGACGATTCGGGAGGGAGGGGAATGGGCCTCGGAACGGGTGCGAAGAAGAAGAAGAAGCGAAGAATTAGAAGAAGAAGAAGAAGAAGAGGAGGAGGAAGAAGAAGAAGAAGAAGAAAAGGAGGAAGAAGAAGCGACAACGAAGAAGAAGAAGAAGAAGAAGAAGAAGAAGAAGAAGAAGAAGAAGAAGAAGAAGAAGAGGAGGAAGAAGAAGCGACAACGAAGAAGATGAAGAAGAAGAAGAAGAAGAAGAAGAAGAAGAAGAAGAATAGTGGTAAACAGTGGCCAACTGCCTTTCGTACACGCATCGAAAGCTCTTCATTGCAATACCGCGCATACTCATCTCAGCTTACGCGCACAATTGCGCTCCGATCATCCTCAGGGGGCTAACCACTTAACCCTGCCTTGCGGCCCCACTGTCTGTCCTCCCGTCATACTGAGCTTAGAGGACCGATACGGCCTTGTCCTCCTATATGCTGTCCATCGAGTCAGCCTAGTAGGCAAGGTACTCCCACCCAACGGGCACTTACACGCGCGACTACGGCTACAGCTGTCCTACCGCATAGATGTTACGTCGTGCTTCGTGAGAGTCAGTTATGTGTCGGCCCCTCAAAGGGCATCAAATAGTCAGCCCACGTAGGTTTTCAATCCTCGACGTACTATCTACGCCTACGGACTAACTTTCGCCACATGTATCACGTGTACGCGGTACTATGCCAGCTAGGGGCACTCCTAGTCATGCCAACGTTCATACACCTCCGCCAATCTCTAACCCTAGCTCCTATTCGTCTACTCCGTATTTGCGAGGATCGAAGTCTCTATCCTACGACGTGGCCCAGCTTAGTCGGTTACACGCGGGCCGCGCCCGCCTTCTCTAAATTCAAACTTGTCTCACAGTCCGATTTCCCGCTTTCAGCAATTGGCGGGTACGGTCCAGTAGTACGGTGACTCGGACGCCTAACTGGCAGTAGGGACGTGGCCTGACAACTAGCTCGGTGCCACGTGTGCAAAAATAAATTCAGAAAAAAAGGAAGAAGAAGAAGTGAAGAAGAAGAGGAGGAAGAAGAAGCGACAACGAAGAAGAAGAAGAAGAAGTGACGATGAAGAAGAAGAAGAAGAAGAAGAAGAAGAAGAAGAAGAAGTGAAGAAGAAGAGGAGGAAGAAGAAGAAGTGAAGAAGAAGAGGAGGAAGAAGAAGCGACAACGAAAAAGAAGAAGAAGAAGAAGTGACGATGAAAACGACGAAGAAAAAGAAGAAGAAGAAGATCTCTCTCTCTCTCTCTCTCTCCGCCGAAGTCCCTTACCTTGTCGATGGCGGGCGTTGGCGGGCGACGGCGGGGTCGGCGGGGTCACGCGCGGTGGCGGGCGTTGGCAGGTGCTGGCGGCGTCGAAGTTCCGCGTCGAAGTCCGGCGGAGCGACACAAAGGCAGGGCAGGAGACGGGGGAACCAGTCTTCCCCCGAACACAACGCACCCTCATTTTGGCCGTATCTGACCAGAAATATAACTCGTATACATTCATTTTTAGGGTGCGTTATGTTCGGGGGAAGAGGGGGGGGTAGGGGGTACAACGTGAGAATGGGGGAGGCAACGGGGGCCGGTAGTTCCCGCCCTCACCGATTTGAAATCCCTGCCATCTGGGCCGTCCATCTTTGAGATCGACAATCCAGATCGGTCCCGATTTCGAATAGGTGAAATCGGGCCTGCCGGCCCCGGTTTTCTTTCTTTCGTGGTCTGCATAGTCTGCCATGAGGGCGAAAAGGCCCCTAGCACCGGAAAAAAAAAAAAAAAAAAAACTACACTGATGCGCCGGGGACGCCCGGTGGCCAAATCGGCCAGGCGGGCCGGCCCCCCGGGCCGGTAGTTACCACCCTCACCGATTTGAAATCCCGGCCATCTGGGCCGTCGATCTTTTTCGAATAGGTGAAATCGGGCCTGCCGGCCCCGTTTTTTTTTTCGTGG